ATCTATCTATCTATCTATCTATCTATCTATCTATCTATCTATCTATCCACTTATTTCCTCTGACATTGCTACTCCCCTGATGCAGATCCCCATCGTTTCTTGCCTAGACTATTGCAGTAGCCTTCTTATTGGTCTTGCTTAATCTGTCCCACTCCAGTCTATCCTCATTAAGTTGTCAAATTTATCTTCCTAAAGCACAAGGCTGACCAGGTCACCCATTCACCTCCCCATTCAATAAACTCCAGTGGCTCCTTTTTACCTTCAGGATTAATATAAAATTCTCCATTTGACTTTTAAAGACTTCTACAACTTTCCCCTTCTTACCTTTCCATTCTTCTTATATCTTATTCCCACACCTTCCCCCTCCCCCATCCCACTGCTGTCTCTATGATCCAGTAACACTATCCTCCTTGTAAGTTCTAGAACAAAATATTCCAATTCAAACTTTCATGCATTTTCACTGGTTGTCCCCCATACTCTGAAATCTCCTCCTTATCTCTGCTTCCTTGCTTCTCTGGATTCCTTCAAGTCTCAGTTAAAACCCCACCTTCTGCAAGAAGTCTTTCCTGGTTCCCCTTAATGTTAGTACTTTCCTTCTAAGATTATCTTCCATTTATCTTATGTAGATCTTATTTGTATATAGATGTTTGCCTGTTGTCCTGTTGTCTTCTGTATTTAATTGTGAGCTCTTTGAGATTAGTGATTATTTTTTTTCCCTTTCTTTATATCCCCAGTGATTATTATAGTACCTGGCATGTAGGAGGTGCTTAATTGATGCTTCTTGACTAGTTGTTTTTGACCTGTTTTTCCTTCTCCTTGTAGTGATTCTAATTAAAGAAAACCTTTCCTTCCTCAGCTCTCACAAAGTAACTTGATCCTTAAAAAAAAACAAACTTAATGTACTTTACATTAAAAGTTATCTGTTTATGTGACTTATTGCTTATTAGACTGTAAGCTCTATAAGGGTAGGGACTGTGTCTTATCTAAACTTTGTGTCTATGTGCAATGGGCACTTAAAAATGGTGGCTGAATTGAGTGGGAGAGATAGTCTGAATCAGAAAAATAGGACCAAAGTCTTATAGAAGAAAAAACTCCTTCATTAGATTTTAATGCCTTAGTAGAATCACTTAAACTAGGTGGAATTATTTGTCCTGGAAAGAGCCCTGGATTAAATTAGGGAACAAAGGTTTTATTTATTCTTACGTCTTATCAGTGACATACTGTGCAAATTTGAAGAGTTACACCTCGCCCTTTTCCCTATCTGTAAAATTAGGGGTCTGCACTATATTTATTATTCCTCTTACAGTTCTGACATGAGATTCTATGTAGCAAAAATGTGTTTCTATAGGAATGAAGTTTTTAAAAATCAGAGCAAATAAGGGAAGCTAAGCATCTCCAAGATTATAAATTTTTTTTAACCAAGTAAATAAGGAAAGGTAAGTTTTGGCCCTTTGAATAACATTTCAAAGATTTTATTTAAAAATCAGCATCTAAGATGAAGTTTAAAATTCCCACAGCACATAGGATTCACCATTCCTATTTTAAAATAGAAATTGTGTGATAGATATATAATTCCCTGTGGTTTTAGATTTCATTCTAATACCCTCTGGTCTACAAAAACAACACTAACACATGGCTGGTTTTATTTACCACCCGTATATCCTATAGTTTATTTGTGCAGAAATAGAAATTGAATTTCCCTTAAGGTCCTAACACTGTTTTCATTTTCTCTCCAACAGCTCTAGACCCATCCAAAGATCCCTGCTTGAATGTGAAGTGCAGTCCCCATAAAGTGTGTGTAACTCATGACTACCAGACAGCTGTGTGTGTGAGCCGAAAGCAGCTGATGCAGAGGTAAGAAGGCCTGACTTGGCTGAGAGGCCCTTGTGAACAGATATCCTACAGACCTGGAGAGTGCAATTGATCCACCTTAGAAAAAAGGCTTTTGAGAGTTTTGGCCTGCTGGTTTTTGTTACTTGGCATAACTTTGGTTGTATGTGTACCTGGAGGACACCATGCTGTTGAAGAAAATTGGGAATAATGATCAGAGCTGAAATTCACATAGTGCTTTACAATTTACAAAGCACTCTCTTATATATTATCTTATTTGATCCTCACAATCCTGTGAAGTGAGTAATACAAGAATTACTTTGTACATTTTACAGATGAGAAGAAATGGGTGTTAGAGAGGTTAAATGATTTGCTCAGACATCAAGAAAACCTAATGCCAAAATATATGCACAGTGACTACAGTAATGTAAATACACTCAATTTTGGAAATGCAAGAAAATTCTAGTTAAATAGAATGGTCGGTATTGTATCAGGCTATTAAAGGATATGTCCCTCCTTTTAGTTAATAATTGGTAATAATTTAGTTAATAATTGCTTTCACAGGCAGTATACTTTATAAAGGAGTTTGTTTGAGTGTTTGCTGGGAAGTGTCTGTTGTTGCAGCAAAATGTATCAACAATTTCATTGAAATAAATATCTTACCCACAGACACATCCAGGAAGTGTCAGAGGTAAGACTGGAACTCAGGTCATCTGACTCCAAGACAGGTGCTCTTAGGATTACACAACATTGCTTGTATAGTCAAGAATTATTCCTGAGTTCCTTATGAGTGAGCCTAATTCCCATCTTATAGAAGCAGAAGTTGAGAGCTAAAGTGAATTGTTGAAGAAATTGTTCATATTGTTGGCTCAGCATCATGGAGGATAGACATATAGCACCCCCTCTAAGTTACTCCTGTAACGAAACTTGAGTTCATAGGTTGAAGGCTCAGAGGATGGCTGCTACTGCTAGGTTTTAGTGTGGCGCCTGGCTCCTACCACCAGGAATGTAATGGAACCAGCTCTAGCCAGCTTGAGCCAGTTGTTACATTTTCAGTATGAGTATTTATACCTTGGAAATCAAGAGTTATAAATAAGAGGTTGATTTATTGTTTTGTTTATTGTCTATACTTAAGAAAGTGTTAATAATGAAGATTAAAGTTAAAGATGTATATATGCTCTTCCTGAGGTAGAGCATTCAGCCAAGCTCTCCTAACATTCTCCTCCAAATAACTTCAAAATAACGTCTCAAATCAAATACTGGAGTTACAGAGCCAACAAAAGGTCTGGGTTAGATATTCTTCTAACTCAAGACAACTCAGGAGGTTGGAAAGAGAGATCTGTGACATAAGAGTGGAGCCTGACCTGGAGCCCACATGGATGCAATACCAATGATAGTGGTGATAGAAGCAGGAGGAGCTTTGAGAGTTCTCAAGCCGGAGATGGTAAGGGTACCTGGCAAATGGTCAGAAAGATATTACAGGGATTCCCTGTACTTGCACTGGATGACAGACTGTATACTATTTGGCAACTCCATTGCCTATGTCCACTTCTGGGTCACATTCAGGGGCAGAGAGGACCACTTTCAGTCACAAGGGAACAGAGGATTCCATGAGCCATATTGCTTTTGGTCACAAGGATCAGGACACTGAGGAACAATATTGTTTATAATCTCAAGGGATCAGGGGTCCTTCCTGGGTTGATGTTGTTGTTGTTGTTGTTGTTGGTGGTGGTGGTGGTGGTGGTGGTCCTTTGTTCTTGAAGGGGAACAGAGCCTAGATAAGGAGAATAGTGACCATATCTCTCCTCAGATCACACCACCTTGGGAGCATTGAAAACTTACAAACCCCAAGAACTAGCTCTGAAAACCACAGTGTGAAAAAGCCTGAAGCTTGGGACAGTACTGCACAAGCAGTACTAAGAGGAGAATTTATATCTCTAAATGCATACATCAATAAAAGAGCAGATCAATGAATTGGGCATGCAACTAAGTAAAAAAAAACCAAAAACAAATTTAAAATCCCCAATTGAGTGCCAAATGGAAATCCTGAAAATAAAAGAAGAGATTAATAAAATTAAAAGTAAAAAAAAAAGTCCCATTGTACGGTTTCACAGGGAAAAAAAAACACAATAGGGGCAGCTAGGTGGCGTAGTGGATAGAGCACCAGCCCCGAAGTCAGGAGGACTTGAGTTCAAATCTGGCCTCAGACCAAACACTTGACATTTGCTAGGTGTGTGACCCTGGGCAAGTCACTTAACCTCAATTGCCTAAAAACAAAACAAAACAAAAAAATACATTTAAATATCTATAAAATAGACAAACCATTGGTTAATTTGATTAAAAAAAGAAAGAAATCCAAATTACTAGTATCAAAAATGTAAAGGATGAATACATCTGTATCACCAAAGAAGATGAAATTAAAACAATTATTAGGAATTATTTTGCCCAATTATATGCCAGTAAAACTAACAATCTAAGTGGAATGAATGAATATTTACAAAAATATAAATTGCCCATATTAACAGAGGAGGCAATAGAATACTTAAGTAACCAAATCTTAGACAAAGAAATTGAACAAACCATCAATGAGCTACCTAAGAAAAATCTCCAGCAATAGGTGGATATACAAGTGAATTCTAACATATATTTAAGGAACAATCAATCTACTACATAAACTATTTGAAAAAATAAGTAAAGAAGGAGTTTTAGCAGATTCCTTTTATGACACAAATATGGTTTTGATATCCAAACCATGGAGAGCAAAGACAGAGAAAGAGAACTGTAGGCCAATTTCCTTGATAAATACTGATGCAAAAATTTTTAAATAAAATACTAGAAAGGAGATTGAACCAATATATCACAAAGATCATACATTATGACCAGATGAGATTTAAACCAGGAATGCAGGACTGGTTCAATATTAGGAAAACTATAAGCATAATTGACCATATCAGTAACAAAAATAAAAATCATATGATTATCTCAATAGGTGTAGAAAAAGCTTTTGACAAAATACAACACCCATTCCTGTTAAAAACGTTAGAAAGTGTAGGAATAAATGGACCCTTTCTTAAAATGATAAAACAGTATCTATCTAAAACCAAGAGCAAGCATTATTTGCAATGGTGATAATCTTGAAGTCTTTCCAATAAGATCAGGAGTGAAGCAAGGATGTCCATTATCATCATTATTATTCAATATTGTATTAGAAATGCTAGCTCTAGCAACAAGACAAGAAAAAGAAATTAAAGGCATAAAAATAGGCAATGAGGAAATAAAACTATCACTCTTTGCAGATAATATGATGGCATACTTAGAGAATCAACTTAAAAAGTGGTTGAAACAACAACTTTCACAGAGTTGCAGGATATAAAATTAACCCTCTTAAATCATTAGCATTTCAGTATATTACCAATGAGTCCAGCAGCAAGAGATAGAAAGAGAAATTCCATTAAAAATAACTGCAGACAATATAAAATACTTGGGAGTTTACCTGCAAAGACAAACCCAGAGACTATATGAACACAATTACAAAACTTTTTTTGACAAAAATAAAGACAAATCCTAACAACTTGAGAAATATTAATTTATTCATGGGTAGATCAAGCCCATATAATAAAAATGACAATTTTACCTAAGTTAATTTACTTATTAAGTGCCACATCAATCAAACTAACAAAGAATTATTTTATAGAGCTAGAAAAAATACTAACAAAATTCATTTGGAAGAACAAAAAATCAAGAATATGAAGGAAATCAATACCAAAAAAATGTGGATGAAGGCAACTTAGCAGTACCAGATTTCAAACTATATTACAAATTGATAATCATCAAAACAATATGATCCTGGCTAAAAAGAAAAAAAAAAGAATGGTGGATTAGTGGAATAGATTAGGCACACAATACATAACAGTAAATGACCATAGTAATCTAGTGTTTGATAAATCCAGAAATCCAAGCTTTTGGGACAAGAACTGACTATTTGACAAAAATTGCTGGAAAACTGGAATACTGTTTGGCAGAACATAGGCATAGACTAGAGGTGAGGAACCTGTACCCTTGAGGCCACATGTGACCCTCTAGGTCCTCAAGTGCAGTCCTTGGATTTGTTCTGTGAAGTTTGGATTCAGTCAGAGGGCTGTACTTGAGGACCTAAAGGGCCACATGTGGCCTCGAGGTCACAAATTCTCCACCTCTAACATAGACCAACATATACATATACTAAGACAAAGTCAAAAAGGATAAATGATTTAGATATAAAAGGATAATATCATAAGTAAATTAGAGTAGCATGGAAAAATGTACCTGTCAGATTTATGGATAAAGCAAGAGGTTATGACCAAACAAGAGATAAAGAGGATCATAGGAAATGAAATGGATTATTTTGATTTTATGAAATTAAAAAGGTTTTCCACAAACAAATCTAATATAGCAAAAACTGGAAGGGAAGCAGGAAATGGGCAAAAAAAATTATAGCAAGTTTCTCTGATAAAGGCTTAATTTCTCAATTATTTAAGGAATTGAGTCAAATTTATAAAAAAAAAATACAAGCCATTCCCCAACTGATAAATGGTCAAAGGATATGAGTAGGTAGTTTTCAGAAGAAGAAATCAAAACTATTAATAGTCACATTAAAAAAAAAGCTCTAGATCACTTTTGATTAGAAAAATGCAAATTAAAACAACTCTGAGATATTACCTCAAACCTGTCAGATTGGCTAATGACAGAAAAGGAAAATAAAAAATTTGTTAGGGGATGTGGAAAAAATGGCACACAAATGAACTATTGGTGGAATTATATGCAACCTTTCTGGAGAACTGTTTGGAATTACACACAGAGGCCTAAAAATCTTTGCATACCTTTGACCTAGCAATACCACTACTAGATCTGTATCCCAAAGAAATCAAAGAAGAGAGGAGATGACTTTTTGTACAAAAATATTTACAGCAGTTTTTTTGTGGTGGCAAAGAATTGGAAATTGAGGGGATATCCATCTATTGGGGAATGACTGAACAAGTTGTGTA